CCCACCACCGGTATTGTTTTTTTGCGGGGGGGGGGGGGGTTAAATTACAGTTCATTAAATGAATCTGAAAGTCTGTCTTTAAAGGGGGAGGCTTCCTTTCAAGGTACAGGGCAGCGAGATTGTCAGTTCCTAGGAAAAAGCAGCTCAGAGGACATTGAATTGCCTTCAGAAGGCATTTAAATGCCTTTTGAGTTCCCTACCACAGGGCAAGAAAGCTTAGAAGGGCACCTTCAGCACATCTCCACCAACCTCCCTTTCTGCTAGCCCAGTGCCACCTACGCCATCATAGTCCAAAATAACATTTCTGACATGGCTATTTGTGGGTCAGGGCTTTTAATGAAGGGGGCTGGACCCCAAAGAGCTCCACTGGCCTGCAGCAGAGACCTCGCAGTGTGTTCTCACGAGATTGCCTGCATGTGCACAAACATCACTGGTTTCAAAATCTTCATTTATTACTATATTACACCAGCATGGAGGTTACTGGTTGAGTTTTGTTTTTGTCTTTTGGAATAATTCTTAAAATGACTGAAAACGATGTAGAAAAAATATTTTTAAAATGATTTCTCTACAAACCTGAGGGTTTACAGAAAACTACTTTAACCCTGGATGGCCTCCCTTGCAGATTTTTGTATCCCCACAGCACACATTTACCCTATGCTATTAGATACGTAATTATGTGATTGTGGGTAGGGGTGTGCAAAGGGCAGGGCAGGGCAGGGCAGGACTTCAGTGATGGGGCGCTGCTTTTGCATGCCGAAGGAGTTGAGCTCCATCCTGGAAACTCTGGTTAAAGAATCTCAGGTCGCAAGGATAGGGGTTGTGTTGAATTTGATGGAGTATTAGCCAGGCTGGCTGTCAAGCAGCTTTCTACATCCGTGTGTGTCTCTTTCAGGAAATCTTCAGGTTGAAGCAAGAGAAATTAGCAGGCAACTCATCCCAAGGAATAACGAAGACCGTCATCACTAAAAAGTAATGCAGCAACTGGGTGCCTGAAGCTATCCAGATAGTTTGCCTTTTAAATAGGCATGGGAGGATAAACCCAGGCTTCCACTGTCGATCCTATCAGGGCTTTAATGTAGCCTCATGCCTGCTTCTTTGAATATGATTTACATTTCATCTCTTTAATTAACGGGCGGTATTAAAACACAGAATTGATAATGCTTTATGATAACATGTCCTCCCCACCTGTCTTTTTCATCTACCATTATTATAGTTGTTGTTGCTAACGTTTTAATATGAAATCTGATGACCTCAAATGCATCTAACGTGGCCAGCAACGGCATGGAGGTGTAAGGTCTCCCAGTGGCTGTAGCTTTACAGATGCACCAGCTGTCACAATTTGGAGTTCATTGGTCTCCCTCCTGCCAATACAAATGACACTTGTGGATTATTTAAACCTTGAAAACAAAGGGGCCAGGAGAAAACGAGCTTCAGTTGCTGGGTGTCTAGGAAAGCAGAACCTAACAAAGGTTAGTAAAATGTGAAAAAGAGGGCCAATATTAAAAACTAAATGTAAAAGGTATATAGAAAAAGCTACATGTATTTATTAAGTACAAATTTAAAACATATATAAGGGCCCATTCACATCAAATATATATATTTATACAACATAGCAATACACACGGGCTTTAAAAACCTGACCTGACGCATTTCGGCCTGCATAGGCCTTCCTCAGAGGTCAAATATAAATTCAAGACTGCTTTTTACTTGAAGAACACTGTGGCAACACAATCAAAGAAGGCAATTCTTGGACCAAAAGTCTATACTTTAGAACCACTGGGCAAGTGAATGCCCTTTTAAAGATCTCATTTGCATATTTGTTCTGTGCCTGGTGGTTTTATTCTGGAAAAACTTGTTTTCTGGTCCATATTGAATTTATATTTTGTATCCATTCTGATTGTGTCTACATGAGTGTATTATATTTTTATAGCCATCTTGCCACTCAATTGTTTGACCTCGGAGGAAGGCCTATGCAGGCCGAAACGCGTCAGGTCAGGTTTTTAAAGCCTGTGTGTATTGCTATGTTGTATGTATATATATATATTTGATGTGAATGGGCCCTTATATATGTTTTAAATTTGTACTTAATAAATACATGTAGCTTTTTCTATATATCTTTTACATTTAGTTTTTAATATTGGCCCTCTTTTTCACATTTTACTAACCTTTGTTAGGTTCTGAATTTTAGTGTTAAGGTTCAGTTTTTTGCCCTTTCTGTCCCTGCTTGTCTAGGAAAGCAACCTTGATGAGTTGGGTTTATGCAAGTAAGCGATTCCAGTCTCTCCGAAAAACCACCATTTCATTGTGAGCTGCCTGGACTCTCCTTGTAAATGGATAATTTTAGCCACAATTAGCAGGCATGCAAGGAATATGTCATTTCATTTTGAAGTGCAGAATTCCACTAGCAAGACTGAGAGATGCTTTTTCAACCATCAGGTACAGGAACCAGTATCCCATTCTGGGGCTCTTGTCTGATGACTACAAAGTTACATCCCCTGTCAAAGAATCACGGACAATTGTAATTGAAAAAACTGGAGAAATGTGGAAGCAGGTAAGTGATCTCGAAGGGAATGGCGGTGACAGGTGGCCACTATTCAGAGCACCAGATGCATTTGGGTTCCCTTATCATTGCTTGAAATATGTGAGCGGACCACGTGCTCTCCCACTAAACTGTGGCCGTGTCCCTTTGTGCTGGGCCAGAACACAAAAGTGGAGGCCCCGTTTTCTCAGTGCCCTGTAACATTTATAGTTAATGGGGTTGTGAGAATGCACTGAAAATAGGGCTTTTTTAAAAAACAAAGAGTCTAGCGCTTTGCTTCACAGATTCTCAAACATCGTGATGCTTCACTCCTTGAAAGATCTGCCTTTCTAAGAATCAGTGGCTGTGTTTGCAGCAGTGCTGAAAAATAGCATCACAAATTAGGTAGATTTTGTTAGTTTGGAGCCTTCACATCACAAGCAGAATTGCCCTGCATATAAATGGTGACCTTTTTTGCTTCGACTCTCCAGCTGTCTAGAGATTATAGGAAAAGCGGGGGAAACCTGAGGGGTTTACAAGTCCACCACAGTCATGTGGGGAAGGGGATGAAGAATACCATGTCTTAATAGCATCCAAGCTGGGGCAAGCCACCTATGTGTAAATGATCTTTCCTGTAGTCCTTGCAGTTGCTCAACACTTACACAAAAGTTTCTTGACCTTCTGTTAGAGAACCCCTCCTGACGTACACATGTGCATGCACGGCCCGAGTGAAGTTAACACATGTTGTTTGTTTTGCAACAGGAATCCTTTACTTCCGATTAAAGAACTGCTTGCTTCTTTCAGGAATGAACAAGCCCCCCCCAGGACAAGTTCCCAGCTGCTCAGAGGAGTTAAACAGTCAAAGGAATGTTGTTGTTTTATTCTTCCCTTCTGCTGTTTGTTTTTTTCCTTTTCCATTCACAATTCAAGACTGAAACTTAAAACCAGCCAGGGTTTGGTGGGGGGGGAGCATTCTCAGCACCCTGCAAGATGTAATAGATTTAGCTTGACCTCAGTGCTTGCGGTCAATACATATGTGGCTTTTTAGGCCGTTGGCCTGCCAACGTCACTCCTCGGTTGAGGAATACCTAAACATCTTTCTACAAAATTTTTATTATCCCTACCTTCATGGGATTTGGGGCGCCATGCAGGATTCTCCCCTCTTCTGTGTTATCTCAGCAGCCCTGTGAGGGGAGGGGAGGCGACAAGAGAGAGTGACTGGCCCAGTGAGTATCGTGGCAGAGGGGGGGATTTGAACCCCAAGTCTGCCAGGTCCTAGTCTGACACTCCAGCTGCTACACTAAGGTGGGTCTCATGTCTGCCATGGAAATCGGGAAGGTGTTGAGGCAAAACATCCTGCCCGTCGGGAGGCACGAGAGCCCACAGCCAGGCCTGCTTGCCCTTCCTGTTGAACCCCAGGCACTTTCGCACACGTGAAATAATGCCGTTTCAATCCACTCCAGTGACCGTTTGCAAGTGGATTTTGCCATTTCACACAGTACAATCCAGTTGCAAAGTGCATCGGAGGTGGATTGAAAGTACGTTATTTAGTGCAAGTGAAAGCGCGCCCCGTGAGCAAAGCACTCCTCCCTGAAGGAAAGACCAGTAGGCGCAGGAAAAGGCGGTCTGCCAGGCTTGATCAGAATATAGTTTGAAATTCACTGCAATAGACCATGTCTGCCTGGGCATTCCCCAACCTCCCCCCCCCCCATAAAATCATGGCATCCTTCAAAAACAAGACACACATTTATGAGAGTAACTTAATTTTAGGAGTTTGGCTGCTCTTTTTTCCTCCCCTCTCGGTTTTTCAAAAAAAAAAGTGTCCCAATTCTGAAATTTTGTCCTGCTTACCAGCTGGTAATCTCTGTTCTTGTCCCATTATTATGTACAGGCAAAATGGATGATGAAACAGCCAAGCTTAGGTTGCAGGTGGTAGACCTGTTCTCTTTAAAAATAGCATTCAAAAGCATTTTAAAAAACCCCATTAAGCAAGTCACGGTCAGGGATCCCTTCAGGAAGTGCTGGGAAGGTCACTCCTTCAGCTTGCCCCATCCAAAAAGTATAGGATAACGGGCACATGGTGAGCAAGTGGTTTGCTTAAGGCAGAGCACTTGTGGTCACAGCTGATCTGTACCTATGCTAACTGTGCCTTTAAGGTCCACTGATTCTCTAGATTGCATTCTGAAGTGGAAAATTTGAGAGGTACGGAAACACATTTGGGGCATTTTTCTGTAACACTCCCTTGTTACTGTATCTGGGCTTACTGCTGCCATTTCCCATTGTGCCAACAAGTGCAGAACATAGAATATGGAATTCGCACATCACTGTCTGAAAGCCACATTAGATTAACAAGAAGGGGGGGGTTGTAAAAGAGAAGTAAGGCTGTACTTTGGAGAGGTGGAGTAGGTACCTGTGAAAGGATTGCCTGTCTCAACCTCAGCAAGGCACAGTGTTTCTGGGGGGAACTGAGCCTTCAATAGAATATTGCTGACTTTGTTTTTCCACTGGAGATGCTAGAATTTTTGATTGTATGCCAATTCTTACTGTGCATATAGACGTTCTCTTTCACACCCCAATGACCAGAAAACAAAATCTAGCACAAATACTTCCTACGTGTGTTGGAGTGAGACAGGTGTGTGAATCGCCATGTAGAGCTGGTACACTGGAGACTTTACTGGATATTATACTGAGTTTTCCAAGTTACTGAAATTTACATGGAAATTAAATTTTCAAAGTGGTGGATGGTTTCTTTTATGTGGGAAAGCGTAAAGTGAGAAATAGCTTGGGGCCAATTCTGCTACTCATAGGTGAGCGCAACTGCCAGTTCATTATACAAGGAACTTGCTTTTTAGGTGTGGGATCACAGGCTGTTCCTTGGTGGTTTCTGCTGTATCGGGTGGGGGCGGACCAACCAAATGAAGAGGTTTTGGGCTTGCTTAATAGATTTGAAAGATAATCAGAGTTTTAGGTCAGCCCTTTATACCACTGGTAGCCCACCAAGCTAAATGAAGTAACACTCCACCAGCCGAAAGCTGTTGCTTGTTAGCTGAGTGACAGCCCCCATTTTTTGCCCTTCAAAGTAAGTATATCTAACTGCTGGTGGCCTGCTACACTTAGCTAGTGGTGTGGCCTTCAGCCTGGCTCAAATTGTGCAGGCATCTTTACAGGTAAAAGGGTTGGGGTGGGGAGAGTCTGCACCCAATAGTGAAACCGAAGGAAAAAGAGGATGTGTGCAACCATGACCCCTTTTTAAGCTTCTAACTGGCCCACCTTGGATATTCTATAACCTATCGAAAAGAATGTTTCATCCCAACATTTTCTTAGCGTAAGGCTTGCTTCTCTTCTTTTGGTTTCATTGTGTGCCTTCCAGGTGAAATCGGAGCAGCTGAACTGCACTTGTACGCAAAGCAAGTTATTGGAATGAATGAAACCGAGACAAGCCTCCTGCTACTCTTGCCGTAATTGCCACAGGGACGTGGGCAGTTGTTGTTAGGGTTGTGCAGCTAGACGCAATTGTGGGGTATGCAGCTGCAACATGTCGGGTTGTCAGGTGGTTCTTAAGGATTTGCTTTACATATGCGTTTTAATCCTATACTGTCCGTTTCTATACTGATAAACCCTTGACCAGTTTACCAGTTCAGACACGGCTGTATCGTTAAGTGAAATAAAGATCTTAATAAGCTTGGTTTGTTATCTGTCTCCTAAATGTTTGGTATATACTTGAAGTTTGTCAGCGTGATGCACAGAGAGCACGAAGAAGTAACTCTGGGTAACCCAAATATTTGCTTGCTGTTCCCCCGGGTTGGGCAAAAGAAAAGCTACCACTCTACCCATTTTGCAGCACATTTTAACAAGCGGTTAGGTGTGGCAGGCGCCATAGGAGCTATTGCTCTGATGAACCTGTGCCTCTTCCTGCCCCTAAGATCCCTCGTCCATTCAGAGGAAGAGGTGTTGCCACAGACATGCAGAGTGAATGAGGCAGACAAGCATTAAGCATTTACTGTTGCAGATAGGTGCACATGGGACAACAAATATAATCAACTGATACAGTGGAGAACAAGCCACTGATTGTGAACAAATTTTGACCAGATCCTGCAGCTAGCAACAGGCATAGGAAGTAAACAGGACAGATGTTTTCACAACAGAGGCTGATTCACTGCTAAAGAATCTCTTGAAAATTATCTTGTTTATCTGTACATTTTCTGCATTAAGAAAACTGACACACCTAAGATAACAGTAAAATGAGGCTGTAAACCTCAGTGAGATTAAGATGCAAGCAACAGGGTTTACTTTCCCCCAACACATTTCACTTTTACATGTTGTGTTGCGACTGGTTTGTTGAATTTCTATTCCCAGCTCCCCCCAGTGCGTTTTAGTGGGAAAGTGTACATTCTGAGTGCCCAGAACTATGCGGATCTCTTACATTGGATGGAAAACACAGGTTTTCGGGCCATTGTGTGGTTTCCTGAAAGTAATTATTCCATTTCACTTTACCCTTGGCATTACTATTGTTCTCTTCATGTGCATACGTTATAGTTTTTTTCCCAAACAGCACTCCAAACTGAGAATAGGCTGTGGGTTCACACGTAGACGAAACATGGATTAAAGTGCACATCCTGACACTTTTATTTAAGGTGCAAGCTGAGTAAGAAGTAGAAATGCAGAGCTGTTTTATGACAAAATCAACCTACCACCCCAGTTTGTGTGGCAACTGCTAAACCAACGGTGTACGTTTGCTGCGGTTGGGCTGTAAATAAAAAACACTGCAGTCAGTAAAGCAACCATTTATTACCCTGCTTCCCATCACTGACCTTGGTCCAGAGAACAGCCAAGTGTTTCCACAGCTCAACTACTTTGCTTGTGCAGTGTTGTCCCTCTCTCTCCCTCCTCCACGTTATCATGGCAGCAGTCAAACATAACCTTGGGGGGGGGGGGAGCTGAATATCTTCTCTCCTGATTTCCTACTACAAACCTGTTTGTATGCATGGACGTGCACAGATTAACTCTGGATTGGGTTACCAATTAGGCCTTTCTCTCTGAAACCTATAGTTTTCTTCAGAAATATCAAAGGGTGTGTTTTACAGCCATCTGCTAACATTGGAACATCACAACATGATGCATTTTAAAATAGTGATGCAAAACAACAGCTATTTGTCAGGCTGGTTAGCACTACTGGTGTTTTTTCTAAAAAAAACCCTGTCACCATTGCAACTCTCATTCAACTAAGGCAAATTCAATATATTCCTACATTGGCTCATTCAATGGAATTATTTTGAATACAGGAAGAGGAAAATGTCACTACGTAAAACATACAGTACTGAAGACCAGCAGTCACCTATCACCACCACTAAGGAGGAAAAAGTAATTGTACCTGCCCCTTTTCTTTTGAAACCTTAATAGAAATATTTTTAATAAACGAAATAGATAGATGTTACGTGCTCATATATTGTGATCAAGAAAGTACAAAGGCACAATTATTTTTCCTGCTTACTGAGATGGGAGTTTACTGTACCTTCCCCCAAAACTCAGGATATCAGGCAATTAAAATATTAAATGATCAGCAAGTAATTCTGCTCTGGCTTGGCTTCAGCAAGGAACGCAAATGTCCTCAGTAAGCGTGGAGTGCAAGAGATGCATTTTATTGTATGCTCATTACAATGAGTAACACATTTAGAAATAATAATCCCACGTAACAGTGACAATCTTATTTTACAGCGTGTACATCATTTTTTACAGCCACATAAAACACAAGTAGTTCTCTAAGGTTTCCCAAAGTTAACTTTCTGAAGTTTAGAAATATAAAAAAAATTTATTCTCAAGGAACTGATTCTCATCTGGTGCAAAAACAAAGTATGAACATTATCCGAAACACAAAGCCACAATATAGTAGCATGAAGTAAAGTTACAATTTATCATGTGAACAGCTGTGTGCAAACATGAAGCAACTTAAAAAAAAAGTTTAAAAAAAGTACACATTATATGCATAACATTTATGAACAGGTTTTTTTATTAAATAGCCCTAGACCAGCTTGTTATATTAAGCGCCATTTTGATTTGCAGCATGCTAACACAAAGCATTGTTTAAAGGGATGCATATTTCAAATGTATACACTGTAAACTGAAGATCCACCTCCAAACTCTAGTGGCAGCATATTGTTCTGGTTAAATACTGCATATATAACTTTCTTACAGATTGAGAATGCGTGTTTATAGTATGGTGTAGGTTTCGTATGGGTTGATTAAAAGGTGCAATTTTCAAGTCTATACTGAAAATTTCATATTGGCAGGTAATGACACAATAAGAGTCCTACCTGGCAGGAACACTGCCCCCTAAAGGTTCTCTAGGCAATTTCAACTGTTCTGTTCTTTCAATCTCGATTCTCTTTTTCAGGGAAGATATTAAAGTAGCAAGAAAAAGAACTGTGCCAAGTCTTAGCACCATCAGCTGCATCCATCTATTTATTTCATTAAAAAACAAATCATTAAATCAGTCAAAAGGTACTTTTTTGTCACAAGTGCCATACTGAACATTCAACTGCAGCTTTAGATAAAAAGGGAAATTATATACATACACGTCTTTAATCCTAGCACCGAACAACACCTTTTGAGCTCAAAAACATAATGCTATATTTTAAACACCGTATCCTGCAATAAAATAGGTTAGCAGCTCTGAAAAAATGTCTTAAAATTACTCTTTGAACCTAAATGAATGAAGGAAACAAAATTCCCAGATGAAATGTATGTTTGCTTTGAAAAGGAAAAGAAAAAACAGGACAGACCTCAGATTTTGACCAGTTCTTGAATACAATTTCCCAGCACAAGTGACTGACTACCATCTAGCTCCTCAAAAACTGCATATGGTAGATTTGCCTTAGCAAACATTTTTGAAGAACTCTGGTCTCCAGTTTTCATTAAGGAGACAACTGGCGTTATTGATAAAGGGCTAAGGTAACTGTCTCCGTATTTCCTGTAGCTTAACAATGTATATAATACTTTAAACAGAAGACATTCAAGGTCTCTTTCTGCAGCTTTTTCAGACATTCATTCACCTCTCTGTATAGTGTTCTTTTAGATTTTGATAAGCAACAATCATAGGGCTTTGAGATCCCCTGTCAACCCTAATACTTTTATAATACTTTTAATACAAAGAATGTAAAGTTATGATTTAATATCAAGCTTTGAAACCAGGAGAAACAGTTCATGAGAGTTTTCTTCCCCAATTAGCATATCACAGTTTCTAAATCACTTCCTTCCATAGCTCATATGTTACATTAGGGCCTCTTTGTGGTGCCTCATTATATGCTGATTTTTCTCTGACGGCCTACGGAATCCCTTTTTGCAGTATTCACACCTGTGTGGATAGTCTTTTGTGTGTATTGATATGACGTGCCGTTTGAAGCCCGATGCGTCTGTAGTGCTATACTCACAATACTGGCATTGATACACTTTCCTTCCACTGTGGGTCTTCATGTGCTTCTTCAGTTCAGTTTGCTGCCTAAATCCTCTCTTGCATCGTTTGCATTTAAAAGGGAGGTCCTTGGTATGAACAGAGAGGATATGCCCACTAAGTACAAAAGGATCTGAAGTCTTAAAGTCACAGTGCCTACACTGATGGATCTTTTTACCTTTATGGGATTCACTGTGCTTTTTGAGCTCTGACGGACGGTGGAAGCCTTTTTCGCACACCTCACACTTGTGAGGGAAGTCCTTTGTGTGAACGGAGATTATGTGCCGTTTCAGGTCGCTCGAGTTGGTGCTCTTATGATCACAATGTGGGCACTGATGAGTCTTATGCCCTTGAAACAACTCTGTGTGCTGCTGGAGTTCTTTCTCGTCCATGAACGCCTGCGGACAATGTTCACATTTAAAGGGCAGGTCAGTGCCGTGCTTCGTTTTGATGTGTGTCTTCAGATTGGACTGATCAGCGCAACGGAAGACACAATGCTGGCACTGATAAGGCTTCTCCCCTGTGTGGGTTCTCATATGCTTTTTGAGCTCTGAAGGGTGGCGGAATCCTTTCCCGCACTCGACGCAAACATGAGGGAAGTTCTTGCTGTGAACTGCAAGCAGATGTCTGTTGAGGAGCCCCTGCTCGGCACTCTCATAGTCACAATATTTGCACTTGTGCACTTTGGGCTCTTTGTCTCTTAAGATCAGTTTATTCGAACTCAGCGGGCTTGCTTCTCTGTACCGCCGGGTGTACTCTGTGAATTCGTGGGTCTTGTCAACTTTGTTGATAAGCTTATGACTCTCCAGATGATTATGGAAGCTTACTTTTTTGTTAGTTGTAAAATCACAGTCCGTGCACTGGTATTTCTTCTTGATCATATGATCTGGGTGGTTTTTCATATGCCTTTTCAAGAATCCCCTGGATTTAAACTTTTTTCCACATATGTGACAGGGGTAGACTGTTAAAGGCTGCCCATCAGGACCTATTATAACAGCTGTTTTCAAATAAACAGGAAAAAATCATGAAGTACAAAAGGGTAAAAGAACGATTTTTACATCAGTTAAGCACTATACAAGATCATTCTAAACAGTGTAGCATTTGGTCACTTAAACAGCTAAGACAAATACGCTATATATTCAATTAATTTCAATTTTACTTACTGGCAGTTTTAATTTATTGATTTTAAATTAGTGGTTTTTATGTGTTTCTGTTGTGTTTATTGCTGTTAACAC